CGTGTACGCCAACAAATACCAACAAAGTGGGGGAAGTTGTCCTTTGGATTATCTTTTCATTAAGCCTAGAAACAAATCTTCCCTTCCACCTCCGTGCGTCAAAATACCTAAGGATATCCCCTCAAACATATACACACACACACACCCATCTCTGTGGATGGATAAAAGCCTGCACCAGTTGAAAACCGGCTCGCCATGTGGTTTCATCCAGGTGCAGGATTTCGTCCATCAGGTGAAGCCTCCACCCCCCCACCCCCTTCCGCTCCGCGCCTGGCCGCTCTTGCGCCGGGCCGCTCCGGGGAAGCGCCGCGCGGTCTGGGCGTTTTGGGCCACTGCGAAGGGCGTCTGCCCGAAGTGGTCCCTCGCCTGAAGCACGAGCGCGCTCAAAGCGGCACGCGGCCATTTCTTCCGGGCTGGCAGTTTTTTCCAGGATCCCCTGTTAAAAGTGAAGAGCGTGCCCTGCAAAAAGTGAAGAACTTGTGGAAACACCCACTAATCCAACTGAAAATCAAAGGTAGGAACCGACAAGTTTTGGGTTTGGCTGGCAAATAGTAAGATTTGGGGACACACCAGAAACCAGCTACAGGAAATCTTTGGTTTGGGTGGTTGGCGCATTGCCTGTAGAACTTCCTCTAGTTTCTGGGATATTGGGTGACACGTTGAATGGGTTCTAAATGGGTTCCTTGCGGATGCAAAGAACTAAGCCTGCCTGTACGTTGTTGATGGTTATACAAAAGTAGTTGAATTGAATATCTGGTGATGTGGTGCTTCTTCAAGGAATTCCTCAAGCTTAGTACCTGTTTGTCCATTGGAATCTGACAGCAGGGTTTCGGAAGGCAGATTCCACAAGGCCGAAAGCGCAACTTCCATGCTTGTTGGAAAGAGAATACCGTGAATACCCTTGTAGGGGTTGATAAAAAGTTGGAGCCAAAGGGAAAAACACCTGTGTATAGGTGAGAATCAAAGCCTCTTTGTTCTAGGGGGCTTTGTTGGGATTGTTTTCAAGAACCACACTTTTTGGCGTTCCCTAAGACACCCCCATTTGGCGCAGGCAGAATGAGTCATCTAAGCCAGGCAAATAAGTCCACGAAAAGCCAATGACAAAGAATCAAAACGGCCAAAGCGGACAAACGCCCCTTAAACAATGGTTCTTACGTGTCTTCCTCTTTGAATTTGTAAGGCAAATGGAAGTCTCCCGAAAAGGGGACATATCACCCCCTGATCCATCCGAAGCGATTGCTTTACGGGCCCAAAGTAAGCCCTCACAGGGCAAGATGGGCATGTTCCGACATTGGGTGTGACCCTAAAAGTGCTGGTGTTCATGTTGGTGTCCCTTCAAACCAAGGTGAAACAGGGTACCCAGCATGCGAAAGAAAAAAAAGACACACCCACGTGCTCGTGTTCATTCAGTCCCTCATGCTCATGACGCGGGCCATCCCCATAACCACCTCATTCAGGTGGCGTGCCCCGTGCCCCCTTTGCTGGGGTGTTCCTCCATCACACCTGGAGTCACCGGATTTTACTTGTCCAAAGTTGATCCACTGGCTGAGACACTCCTCAGATCTGCTCAAAGTTTTTCACTTCTAGTCTTAAATTCGGAAACCCGGCGAAAAACACCGCAGGAAGCTTGGTTGCTGTTGACCCCTTTGCAAACAGTTTTTAACTTTTTGTGGGTTTCGTGGAAAACCCCTTGGTTTCAACCAAAAAGTTAAAAACTTTTAATCCAACCCCATAGCAATCAAGTGTTTCTGGATGGCTCGCTCCCGTGGTGGCGCACATCAGATCCAACTTCGCTTAAGCCCATTCTTCCAGCAACTTGAAGTCTTATGGCATCACTTGTAGAAAGACTGCCCCCCGCAAAAGCAGTCAAGGAACCCCCCCTGCGCGCCTCGCAGAGCTCCGGGCTGCGCTCCACCAGGAACCGCACCACGTCCCCGTGCCCGAAGCGCGCCGCCAGGTGCAGCGCGGTCTCCCCCTGGTCCGCCTGCAGCGTCGCGTCGCAGCCCAGGGCCACCAGCAGCTCGGCGACCTTGGCAGCGGTCGAACGGTTTGCCTCCATTTGGCCATGGGTCAAAATCCAAATCGCACCCCCCAGTGAACAACTAAAATAGGTTCTAAAAGGGGTGGTGCACCTACCCCAAAATGGTACCATTGGTGTTGACCCTTAAGCCCCCTACAGTACCAAAAAAAAGAAAAGAAGTGAAATCGAGTCCCTTTGAAACCAACAGGGCAACATGAAGAAAAAAAAGGAAGAAAAACCACTGAAGCAAATAACAGTTTCCGGGTTCTCGGAGCTGTCCACGTAAGTCTGGGAGAGGCTATGAGGGTAACCAAGAGAAGAATCACACCCACTTAGAGGCTACTGTTGACCCCATAGTAATCAACCCCAGATTATCAATAGGAGGTGTCCGTGTGTTTAGTGGGGAAGCACATCACATTTGATCGGTGTTTAAATGGCTCATGGCAAAGTTTTACAGGGAAGCCGAAGATTTGCGGGGGTTCCCCATGTGAGGCATACCCAAACCCCTAACAGAAAAGGGCTTCCCCAACGAATGCTGACCTCTGGCCAAAAAAAGAAGGTTCATAACCGGAGGGTGTGCCAACGAAGAAGGGTTCTACTTGGAGCAGCCGACCAATTCACAGAGCTCGCAGTTTTCAATCCGATGGTGATGACTCAAAGAAGCGTTTGAACCGGGAATGGGATTCTTCATTTTGCCACACCAAAAACTCCGGTCGACATCCTGGACTCGAAGAAATGTACTCAAAAATATTGAAGCAAAGGGAGATGTTACCCTCCCACCAATCAGCATGGAACCTGACGTTCGGGACCCGGTCCCTTGTTCAGGAACATGGCCCAAACCAGCACCGATTCCCCGATTCACGTACGTCCTTCCGGCTTCCGGCCCTTTTCATTCGGAGGGCACCCACTTTAACCTCCGTTTGCGAATACGTCCCCTGGAAAAATGCAAACATGTCCAGTAGTGATAGATTCCCCTTAAACCAACAGGGAAAAAAATCCAGTAGTCATAGATTCCCTTTAAACACCAACAGGGGAAAAAAATGAAATCGTCTTAACCAAATGGAAGTTCATGTGGCTGTGGGTCAAAAAATGGGTACCCAAAATGGAACCCTGGTAAATGGAACCCATGACTAAAACCCGCGGTCCCCTGGTGATTTAATTTTGACCCACACCCATGTCTCGCCCCAGGCACCTCCAAGTGCCCATTCCAGCATGCCAGGTGCAGGGCCGTGAACCCCGCTTCGGTCCGCGCGTCCAGCGTCGCGCCTTCCTCGGCCAGGGCCCGCGCCGCCTCCCTCCGCCCCGCGCGCGCGGCGAGGTGCAGCGCGGTGCGCCCGTAGAGGCCCCTGGTGTCCGGAAGCAGCGTCGAGCTCACCTCGGAAAACTCCAAGCCGCGGAACGGCCCCAAAAATGGGCTCCCAAAGCGCACCTTAGGGCTGTGGGTCAAAACCAATGGTACCATTGTGGGGTAAGTGCACCACCCATTTTAGAACCTCATTTAGTGGGAATTGGGATGTTCACTCGGGGTACGGGATTTTGACTCATATGGAAACAACAGCTCAGAAAATGGAATCCCCAAATGGCACCTTGTCACCTTATATGCTGTAAACCCCATGTTTACTTTTGAGCCACACCCAAACCCCAACTGTGGATGGAAAAGCGAAATCCAAAAACGCACCAACGAACTCAGAAACCCTGGAAAATGATGAGTCCCCAGTGAATACCTGGTTTCAACCATGGTTCAAAGTGGTGCACAATTTCGACCATCCACAGTAAGTGGGATATAAGCCTTTCCTGCCGTCATCATTATAGCCAGGAAAGATATCAGGCTGGGGTGACTTTCTTTGAGGGTACCTTTTATTTGGGGGCGGTGTTTAGGAAAAGGGAAGCCCAACCATTCTTTTGGGGTCCCCCCCCAAAAAAAAATGGAACCATTCTTGGGCTCCGCCCCCCAAAAAAAAGGTTACCAAGCTTTGACTCAGGTCGCCGAGTCGGTCAACAAGCACCGAATCACGGAGCTGTCCCCCTGCATGGCCGCTTGGAAGAGAGACTCTGTCCTCCTGTGGTGCTCCTTCCAAAGTGTCGCCCAGGGCGTGGCCGTGTCTTCTAAGAAGGACAACCTGAGCCAGAAAATGCCACCCGGCTGCCGAGGACGTGGGAGAATGAGCGAGACCCCTGGGTTTTGTGGGAGGGGACCTGCAAGCCCATACACTACTGAGATCTGGGCATTTCTTTCTGGAGGGCCTTTTTTTATGTGGTTTAGAAGGAACTCTACGAACCTCGCCTGGGGCCCTCTTCCACATCCTCCAGCTCGCCCGTGTCCAGATTCTTGGCCAAGAACTTTGGGCCAAGACCGAGGCTGTCACCCCCGGATTTGGCTTCTTCGGCTTCGGAGCCCCAGCGTGTCCTGCATGATCCCATCGCCCGTACCATGTGTCACGACGCTCGGGCCGACGAAACGCGGCGGGCACGGGCGCGCAGAGTCCCGTCGCAGGTCGCCGCACGGGGCGAAGCCTAACCTCTACGCTTGGAAGAGCGCTCTCATGAGCGTTAGTTAGCAAACCCCCTTGTGATTTGGCAAGTCACCTAATGCCAAACGCCATGAAAGTGCTATTCTACACACACACACACACATCCCCTTGACCCACCCCCTCCAGTGCCTCAGCTTTTGCCCCGACTAAAAGTGACCTTTATTTCATGAAGCCCTAACCTGTATGACGGTCATTTGGCTGTGGGTCAAAACCCTGTTTTTTCTGGTGAACATCAAAATAGGTGGTACATGGGTGTTCATCCGCCCCAAAATGGAGGCATAGGTTATGACCCATGGCCATTTGACAGGTTTCACCTCCAGCACCCAGCCGCACCCCATGCCATCAACCCCCCAGCCCCCATCCCACCCCCCCAGTCCCCATCCCACCAACCCCATCCCACCAACCCCCACCCCCAACCCCCCCCCCCCAGTGCCCCCCGGTGCCCTCGCCTGGGCCTTCACTTTCTTGCGGAGGAACGCCTCCACTTTCTCGGCCCCGTCCATGGCCTTCGAAGCGAAGCAGCTTCCAGGCAAAGGCCGTGGTTCCGGTTGAGGCCATCTGTGGGATCGTTGCTTTTTTGGGGGGAAAGCAAAAAGGTGCGAACCCCACCACTGGGTTTTTTTCTGGGTACCCGTGTTTGGGGTCCCTTTTTTTTGGGGGGGGGAGCAGAGGGTGCAAACCCCACCAATTGTGGGGTCCCCGAGTTTGACACATACCCATGTGGGATCTGGACCAAGGCCCCATAGCACACATGCCCCTTTTTTTGGCGCAAGATCCGCTCAATGTCAGCACAAACATGGGCCAAAAAAAAGGTCCCGTGGAGACAAACAAACAAAAGGCACAAAAGCCCTGGAGCGCGCTGATCCATGCAAAAAAGGGTCAAACAAACACACGCCGCAAAAAGCAGCAAAGCCCCCCTTGTTTTTTGCACCTCCGCCATGTCGCGCGGGGACCGCGAAAAAGCCTCGAGCGTTTCGCCTCGACCATGCCGAACCACGGAGGGGGTCGCGCCGGGAGCGAGACGCGAGCAAACACCTCGAGTCTTTGAATCCAGGCGCAAGGTTCATCCGCGATGTTTCAAATTCACGAAATTCCACGACGAGAGCGCTTGGAAATGCACGATCTCCGCTGGAGGTGCAACTTCCGGATTGACAAGGCCCGCCGCCTCAAAGAGTAATTTCTGCTTGTCGAGCCTTTGTTCCTTTCTTTCCAGACTACTTCCCTGGCCAATTTTTTTTTTAAAAAAAAAAAAAAAAAAAAAAAAAAAAAAAAAAAAAAAACTCGTGTAACTTGCTCAAACAAAATGTATTTTGCAACTTGCTCGTGCGACTTGCTTTGCAAACCTCTGCATCTTCTTCGTGCAGCTTGCTCTAGCAACCTCTGATGTAACTCGCTTGTGTGACTTGCTCGCACTCTCATGTAACTTGCTTGTGTCACGGACCTGGCGCAACTTCCTTGTGCACGCTTCACAATCAGTTCGGGGAGAAAAGCAGACACGTCTCCGAGGCTTTCTTTGGTCCCCGTTCAAACTTGCCGGTGGGAATGACGGCTTGAACCTGGGATTTCCGTGAAACCTGAGATGGTTTATAGTGAGCCCATATTCATCAACCAGTTTACTAATACGGGGGTCCCCCCTCCAAAAGTAGTCTGATTCCCCGCATTTCACCCAGGGAGAAGCACGACCTAGCAATAAACTGGGGCATCTTGGGTCAACATTAGGGGTCATTCCAATTCTCATTCCCTGCTCGCACCCCCACCTTGCTTCCTCCTTGGTGGATTTCGCCTTTGAGGCTCCCCCCCCCCGCCCCTGTTTTTGTAGTTCTTGTTCGTACTTTTGAAGGGAAACCACGAGGAATATAGGTGTCCTTTTTGGAAAATAGATGGCCCTGGTAGATGATTGAACCACCAGGTTTTCACCAGGGCGCTCTATTTTTTTTACCAAACCAACCAAAAAGAGGAGACCTATGACGAGGAACCTCCACCCATTTCCGGCTCGAAACCCTGCCCGACGGCCGTCGGCCGACGGCCGTCGGCCGTCGGCCTCGCCCTGGCAGCAGAAGCCCAGCGACGAGATGTGGAAGTCCTGCGCGCTCCGCGGATCCGCTTCGGCCGAAGCCGCGGATCCGTGGCAATGGGGCGGGGGGGTCGGCGGGTGGCGCTTGAACTAGGGACTTGGACCACGGGGGGAAAAGAAAAAAGGAAAACAAAACTGGAGGTGGTCCTGGCGGGTGTCAAAAAATTTAGACCGGCCTGAAAGCGGTACTAACAAAACCACGCAAAGTCCGGGAACCCAAAAGCGGAGGCTCCCAACGTGTGGGAGGGGCTCGTTGGAGAGGGCAATCCTCCGGTTCAACTCACCCAACAAAAATGCTGCTAGCGCCCGCCTCCAGCACCAAGACCTTCAGCCTCAGAATCGGAGAGAGAACTGGAAGCTCTTGGATGATCGCGCATGTTCGTCTCTCGCTCCTCTCTCTCTCTCTCTCTCTCTGTGTTCTTACATGTATGCACGTATGTGTATACATGTATATACATATATAAATATATATACATACACAACAGGCAACTACGTTGATATACAATCAAAAGCAGACGCGTGTACTTCCCATATGCCGTTTCATTGAGAGAATAAGAAACACTTACGTTCACCATATGCCCCTTCACTCGCCGCCCGTGTTGGGTTCAGATCGCCAATCGGCTTGCGGCAGCTTCTGGCTGACGGTTTCCCTCGCGTAGGCTGCAGGGGGTTGATGTAGGGTCAGGGGTCACTGGATTTCCCGTTGTTGATCAATTTATGGTTGGTTTGCGTTGAAACGATCGCCACTCTTGGAGGTTCCAATCAAAGGGAAAAGGAGAATGAACTAAGGCGAATTGAAAATGCGGGCCCCAAATTTCAAGCTGGACCCTTGATGCACATGAGTTGCATCCCACTAGACCCTAAATCACCACCAAATGGTTGTGGCATTTTGTACCGTCTTTCCAACTGTTGCGTTGCTTTGCGAGGGCTTTCCCCTTCTGAGTGGTGGGTGTCCAACAAATCGCCGCGCCAGAGCCTGTGCCAAAATGACAAACGTGGGCTCTCGTTTAGGGTGTTCCTTTCCGGAGAAACCCCGATTGTTTGGTTTTAAAGGGAACACAAAAGCGAAACCGTGGCCATTTTCAGGGTGTTATTTTTGTTTGGCTTCCTCTTAAAACCGTTCCCAAACTTTTGGACATGGTTTTGACTCAGAGGCTTAAGAGCAAGCAAGCATCGAGTTCTCTTATTGATGGCGCCGTGTTGGAATATGAAGCACAAACAACCAACCACCGCAAGCACTCACATGCCCGATGCTAGCATCAAAACATCAAATGTTTGCCAGTCACCAACGAACGCATACCGTGTCTAATTCAAAGATGGGTGGTTCTTTTCAAATGGATTCCCTCAAAGCACCCAACAATGGTACCCTGTGTGCTGTGTGGATCCAGTACTCTCCTAACTCGGGAAAAACTCAATGGACACCAAGCACAGGGGCGCATTTTCTTATTTGAAGCACCAAGTGGATGCCGAAAACTTCAAAAGAATGCGAACGTCACCCCTCAGGCAAAGACTGGAAACCCAAGGCGAGACTGGCCAAGAGGCAATCAACAAATACTGGAAGACTGGCAACAAAGAAAATCAAGAGGAATCAGGAATCAACAGGAATCAGGAATCAACAGGAATCAGGAATCAAGGACTGGAAAACTGGTCAAAACTTCCCAAAATCCTCAACTTTTGAACCAAAAACCATCAAAACCCTGGCAAGTTCGTCACATCTCTCCCACGGCACTGTAAAAGGCTCTTCTCCGTTCTCCTTCCGCTGTCGAGTCCGAGTCCGAGCTCCCCCGCTGAGACTTCGACTCGCGCAAACCGAGAGTCTCCAGGTACCTGCCCCAACTTGACTCGGGCGGAATTAAGCCCCCGCCGATGGGTTGGGATTGATTTGTTCACTTCCTGCGGAGACGGCCCGCAAACGAAGAAACAAAATATGTGTGCCACTAAAATGGTGTTCCCCAAAAGTTGTAAAGTCCAGGAACTCAGGAAGTGAGAACTTCATTTGATCGTGCGGCCTTGTGCGGCTCAAGTGGTGTTAGCTAGAACCGCTTGCCTTTGGTGAAGGCAGGTTCTGGAAAAGAAAAAAATGTTCGCCGCGACATGAAGTTGTTCAGACTGCTCAATGCTATAACATGATGAAATTGATTCTATGATTTTGGGAGGTTTATCATCCACATTGTCCGCTGCTCAATGTGCCAACTTGCTTTTCAACTCCCCTTGCCCCCAGGCTTTGTTAGTCTGAACCCCCAAACCACTACCAGAGAACATGGAGTATATACCCTCCGTATAGTGGCCATGCGGCTGCCTTTTCGTGGGCTGCTCAACACGCCCCATGGCGACCCCCCCGCCGGCCAACCCCCCGCCTTGCCACGGAGAGCAGCCGGCTCTCGGGGTTGATCACCAGCTCCAGCCCCGTCTTGGCGTGGAAGGCGAAGTTCGGCAGGTGCTCGCCCAGCGCGCTCTGGCGAAGCGCATTTTTGATTCGAGCGGCGGAGAGAAAGCTCGGCCTGTGTGTAAGTGTGTGTGTGTGTGTGAATGTGAATGTAAAGGGGGGCTAAAAACCAATAAAGCACCAAGGGTTGTACTGAATATCAAAAAAGATGTTATAGGAGTTGGTGCTTTGCTTTGCGTCGGTTTCCTTTTCTTTGGGTGTGTGCTTTGTCGTTTATGTGTCATGCTCTTGTGCTGTTCTGTTGTTGTTTTTGTTTTTATTGTTGCTGGTGTTGCTGTTGCTGTTGCTGTTGCTGTTGCTGTTGCTGTTGCTGTTGCTGTTGCTGTTGCTGATTCTGCTGCTGCTGCGTCGGTTGCTGCTGCCAAAAGACGGGCTTTCTTGTTGCGATCACACGACGTTCTGCAGGAAACCTCGAGGAATCGTAAATATCCTCTGCTCCCCCAAGGCCATGAGGCACCCTCTGCCAGCTAATTACCCGTGGAGTGACGTGAGCTGAGGTTGGTACGGCAACTCACTAGGGGTGTCTTTTTCGAGGGTACCCCATGTTTGTGGCTTTGAAAGGGGAAAAAGCAACACCACCCTTTTGGGGGGGGGTCCCCAGAAAGAAAAAAGACACACACACCACTCTAGAACCCTTTTGAGCTTCCTCTCCGCGCTTTTGGCACAGCCCACGTCGATCCCTAGGCCCGCGGACCTCCAAATATCTCACCTTCTCCGTATGCCTCAGTGAAGAAAGTCGCCCGAGCCACCGATGAATAGGACGGGTCAAGAATGGCGGTCTAGGCCGAAGGGCTCTAAGGATGGCGGCCATCCTTAGAAACCTGCAAAGGGCCTAAAAGACCTTGGCCCTTCTGCCCTTCTGCCCTTGGTGTCTGTGGCTTTGGGTGAGTCTCGCTTTGTTTTCAGGGTCCCCGTGCCAGAAAAAAAAAACACCCAGAAAGTGGCGCCACTTTTGCACAGAAGGGCCGGAGTTTACTTTGGTTTACCACATGCGGCCAAATGCACGTGAAGAGAGGTTCGACACATCCACAACCCAAACCGGCGGCCACCCTTTGGCAAATTTGCTGGGCTTCGCAGTAGTTGAGAATGGGACCCATAGATATCTCCCCTGCCGCAACAGGGGAAGCCCAATTCGATTGTGCTGTTCTTCCCCGCCACAAGGAAATGGACGAGTATTCAATTAGGTCAGGTCAATCTTCATTTTATCCCAATTGGCATGGGGAATTCGGTGCCTCACCCATGGGTTTAAGGGGAAAAGACGTGAAGGAAAAGTTCACTCTTAAATGGGGCACCTCCCCGTTTTCGCATCATCAGGGTGTTTCTTCATCCAAAATAAAGATGGCCGTGGCTCAAAAACATGGAATCCCCAAACTGGCGCCAAAAGGTCCGTGAAACCACCCAGCGGCGACCAAGACATGGAGCCACGCACGCCCCAAAAAATGAAAGCGGCTGTCCAAGGTGCTCCTGCCACTTGGAAGATAGGACCACCATGGTGTGGTCCCCAGCGGCTTTGATGAGCCTGGCCGGGAGCCCTTTGAAGTGATCCCACAGTTCTGGGTGGCGGTTCTCTATGGCTTCCCTTTAAAACCAGCGTTCGTAGCCTCCAAAACAAATCACACACCCAAGTGAGCAAGCAAACAAAAGGAAGCCGCGCGCTGGTTCCTGAGAAGAGGGATATGTGTATGTACGTATACATATATATCTATATATATAATGTGAATATATGTGTATATACATACAATATATATATATATGTATGGTCAACAAAAATACGTTCTGATTTGTGATTGAAACTTGATGAGGAATTCCGCCGTCCCACTTTCGCCCCTGGATCTCTTGGCCGCTATAAAAACCCAAGCCACACAGGCGAAAACAGCACTCACTGTTTTTTTTCCATGCAAACGATGCTTGGCTTCGGTTTGGGCTTTCCAAAGCTGAACCCTGGTCCCTTTGGTGTTCCAGAGACCCAAAAGACAGAGACCAAACCTCACTGGTGAAAACAGCACACAGCTTCTTCATTCAAGATGGTTCCAAAGTTCCAAAGCTGAACCGTCCCTTGGGGCGTCCCTTTGGACCAAAAAACAGAGACCAAAAACCGCGCTCTCTTTCACGCGCCGCGGGCCTCGCTAGGCGTTGGACAAAGACTCCTGCGGTAACCGCAAGCACGGCACCCCAAGGAATCGACGCCTTCGGGCGGATGACTTCAGGCCGGTAAGATAAAAAGGCCGGATTTCCAACAGACACACCCCGTGTTCCCTCTGCTCAACCACTAGTTGTTGTCTTCTATAAACATATCACATCTTGATTGAATCAAATTTGGACATTGGTGAGGATGACTGGGCCGTTGCTTTCTGCTCCCCTGCTAAAAGTGACTAACTTCTAGTGGGTTGAATACGGAAAACCCACGAGTTGGCCAAAAGTTAGTTAGTCCTAACATCCCTTGGCAACATGCACCAAAGATTTTTGTCGGGGTTGGGAAGCGTTCTCCGGAATCCGGAACCATGGGTCAAAATCCAACCACTAAAAAAGGCTCCAAAATGGGAGGAAAACATTTCTTGGGTTACCTCGGTTACAAATTATTATTGTATTTTACATAAAGGTAGTTTAGAACCATCAATTATAATGGGTTCCTCTAATAATCCTAAAGATTTATCAAATATAAACAATATTAATACAAATAATATTCCAGTAAACCCCTTCCCCTTTTAGTGGTTGGATTCAGACCACTTTTGGAGGGAACACCCACACCCCTACCTCGGTCGCCTCTTCGCTTCGCATCCCTTTGCTCCTGCCAGCTGCGCCTGGCCCTTGCACGCCACCGCCGCGTAGCTCTCGCCGCAGGGCTGCAGCCGCGCGGCTGCCAGCAAGATCCTCCGAGACTCTGCCGCCGCTCACGTGGCGCGACGGCTTTACGGGCCATTTCTAGGAAAATGTTTCTAGGGGTACCTTCCATGTCCATTCTTTCCCGGAATCATTCTTTCCAGGAACCCCCCAGAAACCCGGGGAAACGGCAGGTTTTTGAAGAGAACGAGGGTTGAAAAGAATGGGGAATCAAGCCGTAGAATATATATATATATATGTGTATATATATATATATATTATATATATATCCAAGTACCAATCAAACACATATTCTGCAGGGCTCCCTAGATTTCCCCTTGAAACATCACCCATAACAAAAAGAACACTCACCTTTCATGAACCCATGCAAGTTATGCTTTGAAACCACCAAAAGGGGAGATGCAGGGACCCCTGTAAGTACTAATCAATAAACAACAAACATGGTTGAAACACGTCAGCAATAAAAAAACAAAGCAATGGCTTGTTCGGGAGACTCAACCCTACATGTTGCACGCTCAACCCAATTTCATGGTGAGTTAATTCATTTTAGGGGGGAGTCTTCGGATGCATACAATCCTCCAGATTGATTTGAAACTCACATGACCCCCCCACAAAAAACAGACACGAAATACTGGGGAAAACTGCATCTGCGAAACTTCTCCGGCTTATTTCTTGGTTTCGGTGGTCATTTTGCCAGCTAAGCGTTGACCAGACCTTGCCTTTTCCACTGAAATGAACAGCCTCCCTTGAAAAGGGTTTCTACACTACCATGGGGGCTGCTTATCAAGGCAAACCATGTGATTGATGGACACACTTGAGGCTCACATTCACCAAGATGGCCATGCAAGGGCATGAAACTCAACAAGATCAGCCTTTGCTCTCACCTATTCAAGACGCTCACTGAATACTCGCAACCTCGGGCCTCAGAAGGCCTCTCACATCCAGTGCGTGGTAAACCAACTCTGCGGAAGTTGGGCAAATTAATTACTATAAATTCTCAAGCCGGAAATCAGGAATCCAAAGCTTCACTAACGATTTAACAGCGGTTTATTTCCAGGTAGGCTTATTTTTGTTGCGCAGAGTCATCGCTCCGCATGCCCAAGGCCTGCAAACAGAAAAGCCGGTGAAGGTTGACCCCGCCTTTCGATGGTTCGCTGCACGTTCTCTCCAAACACTTTGCCTGCCACGGTGGTTTTGGTCGCACGGGTTTTGCGACAAACCCGGCAATGCGGGGCCCGGATCCCGGACTGTGGCGTTGCAGGCTTCTTATACCGGCCTTTCTGCAAAATGGCTTGCAATGTTTGGATTGGGAGGGGATCACTGCTGGCTTTGGTCTGAGTGCCACAACAAATCGGGCTCAGGCGGGCAGGCATCATGAATGAGCTTACTGGGTCATTGGGAAACCCCTCTGCCATGCCCCCCGGTTGGCTTTTAGAAGGTGCCCCCCCTTGGCGACCTCCACACGCAAATGGAGCGGAGCGAGCTACAGCCTGAGCTGCGCAACTTCTTGACACGGCGCAGGTCCCTCTCCTCGGCTGGCTCTCCAGGATTTCGGACCCCAAAAAGTCTGCGGTTTGCCTCGCCCTAAGCCAGTTCTCCCACCCTGCCGCGACAAAGAACGTGCGTGGCTGAGCTTGACCCACGCTTCAAAGCCCCATTTTTAAGGGAACACCCCGCATTGTCCAACAAAGTTTATCAGAGCCGGGGCGGTTTATGAAAACAACTAGGAGTTGCTTCAGAAGACAGGCCCCTTCGAGTCACACCCACCCCACACACCCACCCCACGCACCAGACCCGGGAGCCCACCAAAGACCCGTCCAAGCCCTGCAGTCCAGGCTTCGTTTAGCAGCAGAGGGCCCTGAGCGGGAAAAGACCCGGTTGGGGGCTTTGACTTGTTTTGTTTGCCTCGGAGGGTACCTCTGAACATGTTACCACGTCTTGTTTGCGCGGCCTCTTCTTTGGAGTTGGACCCGGAGAGTGTCTACAGGGAAATCGAAGGAAAACCATCAAACCCGCCACCATTCTGGGCACTGAAGGAGCTTGGATGTGCGCAGCAAAAGGGCCCCGAGCTAAAGCTCAAGGAACCAAGCGTTGCAAATGCATAATGCTCGCAACAAATCAAATATATGGGACACAGAAATTGAACACACTCAGGTATAGCAACGGGTTTAACTTGTCAAGAGGGGGACAGCTTGACACGTTTCGTGAGCAAATGAATTATTTGTCCAAGCCGCGTGCAAGAAGTCGGTCATCCCACCCCAAGCTTGAAATTCACAAATCATTCCAAGCACCATCATTTCAAGCAAAGCAAGGCCCACATGATTATTTTTTTCTGGCTCTGCTCCATACAGGGGTCACTGGGTTTCCCCTCCAAAAGTTGATCAATCTACTGGCGGGTTCCTTTCAAACTGCCGCTGTTGGAGGTCCAAGAAATGGACATTGAGGGAGGGACCCCTGCCATATACGTTTAGCCTAACATCTGAAATCTTTTTGGGCATCGGAGACCCCGAGAACAGCTCCAAGAGACGCGCCGGATCCGGCCTCATCGTCGCGGATGCCGACGTTCAACACCTAGGCGTCCCACGGCCCCAGCCGGGCCGATTTGGAGCCTTCCGCTTTGGGGTGGAGCGACGTGAGCTTTGCCAAGGGCTTCCTAGATGAACTCACTTCCGGTCGAGTGGATTCCGAAGTCTGGACTTTTGATTTACCACTAAAATGGTCTACCAGAAAGTGACTCAAGTCCAGGAACTCGGGAAGTAAGTCAAATTGGTTGATCAAAGTTGATTAAAAGTCAGCGGTTGCTTCACTGTACAGAGTTTCACATAGGCCTTGCTTTGATTCAAGTACTGGACAACAAACAAGAGAACTGGGAAAGTGACCCGCTGCGTCCGCGTCTGTGATCAGCGTGCACATCATCCTTTGGTCCCTCGCGCGAAGGCCAGCGTCTAGAAATCATGATGGGCTCTCTAAGGAAACCTAGCCTCAAAAACGGGAAGGAAGCCTGGGGTTCGTATGATGGATAGAGTCTGTTTTGCACCTCTTCCATTCTGTGGATTCCACCTCTTCCTTCCCCAGGCTCCGTTTAATCTGCAAAGGGAGCAGCCGCCGCATCCAAACCGCTTCTTGATCTGCAGCCAGGACGCTCCATCCACATCCACAAAGATGACGGTCTCCACTTTCGTCTCCATCGCGATTCGCAGTGAGACGTGGGGAAATCACTGACCAGCTTGGGACTCTTGGCCTACCACAACGAACCACTTGGCAAACAACTCTTCCCCCATCACGAACCACTTGGCGAACGGGAATTCCTGAAAAGAAGGGAGTGCTGAAAATCCCAAGCAGGCGAAGCACTTGCAAACGAGCTGCACTTTTCAACCAGATCTGAGCATAACTAGATCTGAGCCGAAACCGGCGACCTGCGAATGGCTTTTCTCGGGTCGTCAAAATTGGGGGGAGCACTCCTCTGTCCCTCGGGTTTTCAAGTTACTCCAACCCCAACTGAAAGAACAAACATCCACCCACACACTAACCAATCCAGGCATACACATGTATGTATGTATATATATATATATATGTGATTGCATGTGTGTCTGTGTATAGATATACAGACATATGAGGCACGGTCGAACTTACTTGCTTACGGCCGTTTCGCTACTTAGTTTGAGAGTCCCCTGTCGTTTTGTAGGGGTATCGTTGCTATGAGAGTCCCCTATTGTTTGCCATGGTTTTGTGCATTTCACAATATCCATCAAACGCCGAATATTAAACTCAACAGAAGACATTTTGAGGGTACTTCATATGGAGAGACACACACACACACACCTCTGCCGCAGAACGACAAACCTGGTTTGGATTGGTTTCTATTGGTGGTTTGGATTGGTGGCTTGGATTGGGCGGGCTCAGGTCCCAAACTGATCTAAACCACGTGCTCGCCCGCCGTTTTTTCTCCCTCACAAGAAGCCTTCTGCGCTCTCAGGCGCAGCGCGCTCGGATTCCTCCTGAGGCGCAGAGTTGGGAACGCGTGTTTTGGGGGGCGTCGAACGTTGGCTCAAAGAGAAACCACTACGCATTCCACCAGAAGAAATGGGGGGGGAGGGAACCATTTCCTTCACCCAACAAAAGGTCCAAGGTGAAAAACACAAATTCCACCAAAACCATTTTGGGAGGCTCCCGGTCGTTTGCAGAAAGGCGATCCTTGCCCAAGGCTCCCAGCTGGCCGTTCCCGGATCTACCAAAAAACTCTGAGACTAAGATGGGGATGACCAACATCCGCGAACATGGGGCATGGGTCAACTATTTGTTGGTGTTTCTCCAGGCAGTTTTCCCCATCCGCTTTGGGAAAAACCTCACCCCTCGGGCCCAAAAGGCGATGTCTGAGGTGCGAGAGATGCGGGGAATGAGAATTGGAATGACCCAAAATGAACCATCCAACTTGGGGTGTCCTTTAAGGGGGCCCAAAGCCTGGGTTCATTCCAATTCTCATTCCCTACCGATCGCACCAGCAAGTATGTGGGTCTCTGGACAGCGTGCATTAGCCTTGAACTGCAAAGCACTCCTTCTCGTTCTGGCAGCGCCGAAGTATCCACTCAGCCTTGGTTCGAGAAAAACCACCGCCACCCCTAGCCCCCCCAGGAAAGTAAGGGGTCCTACCGTCTCTCCTGATTGGTCCAAGCGAATCAAACACCTCTCAGTTCTTCGGGACGGGGCTTGGGGCGGGACGGGGGACGGGGGGACTAGCTGACCAGCTGCTGGCTTTATGTCAGGCTTCGGGGCCCCAAGGCGCCATATGGAGCCCCAGCACATCTGACTCAGCGACCTCCTGACTCGGAGTGACCCAGGCTCCGACCTTTTGTGGGAAAGATCGGGTGGTCTTTTTTTGCCAAGGGCCTTGGCCTGCCAAGACGAATGTTGGTTGCTGGTAAGTGGGTGCATAGTGGGGGGTAGTTGGGTTAGTGGGTTGGGAATACATGTTTGCTGTTTTGCTGGTAAGTTAGTTCTAGAAAGCTAAAAATGTGTTGGGTCCTACATACTTAGAAGTTAAAAGCCTTGTCCGGTCAAAACGAAAGGACGGCCAAGCGATATATGGGTATGAAATTCAGGGTGTTCGACCCTTTGGATGCCAATCACTTTTCTCAGAGGTTTTTTCTTTGCACGAATCACGGCCGCTTTTTCCAACCAGCATTTCCTCCCTAAAACCGCCAGAGCCGCCACCTGGCGGTTCAACAGGGATCCTTACATTATACACCCGAACATTGCAACTTGTAAATGGTGGTTTCCAACTTTGTTTTGGTGTTGAAAAAGCAACATGCTTCAAATGGTTGCAACATGAAGATCTTTTAAGGAGCCCTGTTCAATCGCCATCCGAGTCTCCAAAGCTTCGAAGGGCGGCGGCGCGAAGGCGCAGTACCTCGCTCGCTCCGCGAGCGTTTTCGCTTGGCGCCAGCCGTGGCTGGCGGGGTCCGGAAGAATTAAACAACGAACAGGGCCCAGGGCTGGGGGGAGGGAGGTTTAAATTAGGCTTCATTAAGGGCTGAATTAGAGCAAATCCGGTACCATTTCCCATGGAATCCAAAACCCCAAAGAGACCAGGGCTCTCGCCAAATGGGCTCCCGCCATTGGAGGTTGGAAAGGCCAAGGATGGGTCAATGGTTCAGGCGTGGCTCGTATCAAAAACCCGGGCCTTTCCGGCGACCGCCTTGGGAAGGTGTAAGGATCACGGTTGAACAGCCCAGCGTCCTGCTTTTGCGTGCTATCAAGAGATGCTCCAAACCTGATCAATCCACAAGGGTAGACAGTCGTGACTCACTTTGAAATGTGTTGCCTCGTAACGGGGTTTGTGGAGCGTGAAGGGAACCACAGGGTCTGATCGGCAAGGCGCGCATGACTCTTGGGGCTTCGTGCGATTTCATCCAGTTGCTGGGCCTTTGCTCAACCTAAAGAAGGTTTGGGTTGACTCCTTGCACATCCGAAAAAGCAGAGACTCGCCTGTGCGTTGCAAACCAAACCGATGAAAAAAAGGTTGGCTCCCGCTTGGAGGGGCCGTCTTTCAGTTGGGCGTGGGTCAAAATTATACCACCAGAAAAACCGCAGGTTTTAGTCATGGGCTCCACTTACCAGGGCAACCCATTTTGGGGTTACCCCATTTTTGACCCACCGCCTGTTGAGTCTCGGTACCCTTGGGTTTGCTCTAGACTCAAGGACACTGCGGGTACTGCGGACCGAACCAACCGGCTTCGCGGGTCCGAAATCCGAAATCCGCCGAGGGGCTTGAAGTACCAGTTGCCATCCAGCATGTCCGCTGTCCTGCCCGGAAAAAAAGAACACGGCAAGGCGCGCCTCGAAGTTTCGGGAGTTCCTCAAATGGACCCTTTGGTTGAAGTGTCAAGGGAATCCAAAAAAGGAAGGCAATCATTGGCACCAAGCCAAGGCTGAAGGCTTCTGTGTGCGGGTGCGGGTCTGCCTCAAAATCGGGACCCACCAAAAAGCGAGGCTTCCCTTCCACGTCCCTTTCAATAAACTCCTCCAGTGGCCATGGGAAAACGAGGGCGCTTCTGGGACCCCCGAAACGAGTGGTGTTTGCCCGACCATTTTGTTGCTGGCTTTCTGGACAGATTCGGGTGCCTGGAAAGAATGGGGAAGTTAATATGGGGGACTCCAGACACTATCAGGGTAAAAGTTTGCACGGTCGCCGAATCCAATGTTTTTGCCTTTCCCCCTAGAAGTCCTTCAAGTGAAAGAGCACACTGGGGCGGTCAATTGTCACACTTGCAGGCCTTTATACCATGTCACACCTGCCACACAAAATCCCACCATAACTCTTTCCAGATTGACCCGGTAGCGTGCAAAATTAAACCACCAGACGACCGCAGGTTTTAGTCATGGGTTCCATTTACCAGGGTTCCATTTTGGGTACCCATTTTTGACCCACAGCATATACTGACCCTTGGACATTGTGGCACCCCAAAATGTGGCACCCCGAAATGTGGTATTCCGCTCCTTCGCTCCCGGCCTGGCCCAAGACCGCTGGGAGCGCTTGATGGCGTGGCAACACCTCGAACGTGGCGATGTTCCGTTCTCCGGCTTTCCAAGAGCCAAGTACTCCCTGCAACTTGGCCATAAAACATCAAAAACCCGCCTTTCTATAGTAACTTTCTTTTGGGAAGCACTCTTTTTGGGTTGCAAGTTACAAGGCTCAGGTTGGGGCCTCACAGGAGCACGTGGTTTCGGTCTCACCGGCACACGTGGACACTCCAGCCGCTTCTGGTCTCACAGGAGCATGTGGTCGCTCAAAGTACTGCGCCTGCCACGAAATCCAGCCCCAAATCTGCGCTCTCGCAGGCTGCTTCACAAGCGAGCGCGTGCTAATTTAGCGCGCGGGCGCAGCTTTTCAAGCGTCGCAGCACGCAGCGGCTCGGGTCTCACAGGAGGACGTGAGCGCTCCAAACCACTCAAAATAGCGTGCCTGCTACGAAATCCAGCTCCAAAACATACGCGGGACCTGGCTTCAACTGCACTCATGCAGGTCGCTTCCCAAGCATGCGCGTGCTAGTTTTGCGCACGGGCGCAGCTTTTCAAGCGTCGGAGCACGCAGCGGCTCGGGTCTCACAGGAGCACGTGAGCGCTCCAAGTCACTCAAAATAGCGCGCCTGCCACGAAATCCAGCTGCAAAACCCACGCGGAACCTGGTTGCAACCGCAATCTTGCAGGTCGCTTCACAAGCATGCGCGTGCCAATTTGGCGCGCGGGCGCAGCTTTTGGAGCGTCGGCGCACGCAGCGGCTCGGGTCTCACATGAGCACGTGATCGCTCCAAGTCACTCAAAATAGTGCTCCTGCCACGAAATCCAGTTCCAGGAAGGACCTGGCTTCCTTGTGGGCGGGAGGGGGGGGGTTGGAGGGGGGGCGGGCGGGGGGGGGGGGGGATGGTAAGCACACCCGCTCAAGTGCACCCGCTCAGCACTGCATCCACGCACACGAAAGAGGAAGCGCGCCTGCTCAAGCGCACCCGCTCAGCACTGCATCCACGCATGCGGGGGGGCGGGTTGGTAAGCACACCGCTCAAGTGCACCCGCTCAGCACTGCATCCACGCACGTGAAAGAGGAAGCGCGCCTGCTCAAGCGCACCCGCTCAGCACTGCACGCGTGCGGGGGGGGGGGGGGCGGGGGGGGGGTGTGGGGGGGGGGTGGGGGGGGGCGGGGGGGGGGTGGGAGGGGGGGGGGGAGGGCGGGGGGGGGATGGTAAGCACAC